TGCGAATCCATGATTTTTGACGTTGCCATGACAACCGCAAAACTTTATGTGGTCTGGCCAAAAATCAGTTAAGACATAAGTCTTAATCTTTTCTATTTTTCTTCATCAAATTGCACAAAGTGATAAATAATCAACTTTCTGTAAGTATTCTGGCACGATTTTGAGTCGATTTCTGTTAATTACCTACTTTTGAACGAAATCGTAAAATCCAATATGGCGCACTAAGATGGCAGCTCAAATGACGTCCGACAAATCTGAAACCGCCTGGTTTGTTTGCATTTTCCCCTGGTGCTAGGATCGTCCTAGCGCAACTCTCTTCTTATACCTGTATACCTGTATACCTGTATACCTGTATACCTGTATACCTGTATACNCCGACAAATCTGAAACCGCCTGGTTTGTTTGCATTTTCCCCTGGTGCTAGGATCGTCCTAGCGCAACTCTCTTCTTATACCTGTATACCTGTATACCTGTATACCTGTATACCTGTATACCTGTATACCTGTATACTTAATTGTCCAGTCCCCATTGAGGCTTTTCAGAGCAAATAGAAGTCCTGGTGCTAGCAAGAGCCAAATGTAAACTGAATACGGAAAACGTATGGTGCGAGGATGTTACTCCTTCTATGATCGTCTTCTTCGTGTAGGTAGGTAGGTAAAGTCTGCATACGAGCCAAGTGGCCCATCAGGCCGGAGCTTATCCCGGTTTCTGTAGCATGAAGCGACTAGGAGTATTTCTACTCCCCCCTGGATGAGATGCTAGTCCATTGCAGGGTTACCCCCAGCATTAAGTTCGCCGGTACCCATTTGTACACCTGGGTGGAGAGAGGCACTGTGAGAGTAAAGTGTCTTGCCCAAGAACACAACACAATGTCCCCGGCCAGGGCTCGAACCCGGACCACTCGATCCGGAGACGAGCGCACTAACCATGAGGCTAGCTTCTTCGTGTAGTCAGCCCTAAAATAACGAAGGTTACTGAATTAACGCTGAATTAGTTTATATCATAATCACTATCCTTGTTTATGATATAAAACAAGGAAACAAAATCGTATGGAGAATTTGATTTGAATGGCACTTGACTATGTCCGAGAGTGAAAAAAATCAAAAAATCAAAATAAACAAATAAAATAAATAAAAATTGTGCTAAAAAAATACGACGGAAAAAACTTACATAGCGGGAGAAGAAATAAGACAAAAACGTCGAATTCCCACTCTATGATTACTGTGCATTTAGTTACAGTATTATTAGTAGCCCTTGCATCAAAAGATAAACTCAGGAATGAGAAAAATTAAATAAACATTATTTTGCAATTTCTATCAATATGTGCATTTATAATAAATGTTTGATTCGTGGATCAAAACTGATGTTTAGGTTGCTGTGTACCTTTAGCATTGTTTTAACCACAACCATGTAATAGAAAAAGATGAAAAAACCGATAAAAAGAAAATGGAAAAATAATAATGGTACTAAAAAACCCGGATAACTAAAAAGAAAAGTAGAATAAAAAGAGTTACTATTTTAAAGACTTAGTCTATATATGCGTAAGCGCACACAGGCCTTCAAACGCAAAACTGACACTGTTTTCTGAACTGAATTACCTGCCTTCGTCTTCGTGCGTACGAACAAACAAATTGCATCATGTCTATCAGTAGATGACGGATTACAAAGGTGAGGCTTTTCCGATCTTTGTCATCTGAAAGAGCCTTAGGGAAGAAGTATTTGAAATTTCACTTAAGCGCAACGGTGATCGAGGAACATTTTGGCTAAGGTTCGTAAAAATCGGTTAAATCTACGAGCCCTAACAATTCGCTCGAAGCAAGGAAATCCACGACAAAAAAGAGCCTAAGTTTTCGGCTCCTAAAGATTTCCAAATTGAACGATGCCTCATGAGGTTTGTAGATGCCTTAACTTAAGTCAACTGTTTTATATTTGGACTATGTCTCTCTTACAGTTACAAATTGATAGACCCGGAAAATGCTATGGACTGTTCCATGTTTTTTCTTCTTCGTCGGCTTCTTTTTGGACTGTGTATCTGCTGGTGAACAATGTACAGAGGTACGGCGGAGCATAAATTGAATGGCTCTATAAGGATTCGTCTTTAAAACGTTCTCCGTAAGAGCCTTTTTTCTTCTTCATTTTTAATTCATGTACATACATACATACATACATACATACATACATACATACATACATACAACCTTTATTTATGCACGATAAAAGACGTCAAAGCTAACAAGCTTGTGGGGTCGTGTACTAATAAGATACATAAAATAACTACGATTAATAGATAATTAATTAATACAGTTAATAAAAAATATAATTTTGATAACAACGAATGAGATCCATAGTTAAAAATAAATAAAATTCTCTGATCTTTTTGTTAATTATTTGTGGGGCTAAAACATTAAAATTAAATTCCTTAAAAGTGTTACAATTAACAACATTCTTCAAAAAAGATTTCAGGTCTGTGCTCTCTAGTATCGATCTATTAGTTCGCCCTATAGCGTTCCAGAGGACAGCCTCTCTATAGGAAATGGAGTTTTTAACGTATTTGGAGGCCAAACTCAGTGCTATCAGCCCATGCTTCAGTCGTGAAGAAGGTCTGTCGCCGTGGATAATCAACTCTGCAGCCAAAGTGCTAGGGAGCATGCCATATACATATATGTTAAAGTGTTCCACTTAACGGTAGCTAAAACGTCAACTGTTGGCATGTCCGGTGGAAAGCCAAAAATAATTCTAGCAGCACGGCAATGTTGTCTTTCCAATGTTGTCTGTCTGATTAACCCCGCCCCAGACGGGCATCGCGTACGTAATGGATGTAGATGTTCCTGTAGATGTTCATGTGGATGTAGGTATCTTTCTTGCAAAACTAAATTAGTTTACAGGGCCAGTTACTAAAACTAGCCAATCGGATTGTTCCACTGCCGGTCTAGTATATTCCAAGTATTTGATCAGGCACTTTCTTCAATGATCTTCAGCGATTGCTTGCGATTTTCCTGAGCGGTTTGTTATTGTTTTGTTTTGTTTTGGCAAGAAAAAGAAACCAGGCTTTCTTTTTCTGCCAAATATCCTATTCGTTTTCTGTATGTTACATTAGAAAAGCTCAGCAGTGAGTAAATGCCTCGTCGGTTGTCGATTAGAAGTGGGTCCTTAAAGTTTACGTTGTCTTTTCAGTCCGTGACTATGCAATTTCTTCAAGACATTTCCAGTCGTGTAGTACATTAGTCTTTCTCGAAGCCGCTTGAACAGGAGTCAGGCAACTTTCCCCGTTTCTACGAGGCTGCTTCAAACCGACATGGTTTGCGCTAAAATGTCTACCAATCGTGGCAATGGCCCGTCAGGATTTTTTCTTGAACGAAAACAGTAAAAGGATACAACAACTAGGCGCTGATTGTGCCAAGTAAAAAAATATGGCAAACAATGGGAAAGGAATGTATGTCGGTTTGAAGCAACGGCGTGGGAACGGGCGGAAAGTCATGTGTTTTCCGCGCGAGCGGCTGACGCTACCATTGCAGAGAGGTGGACAGCGTATCGAAATGGCTCGAGGTGTTTTCGTGTTCTTTTAATCGCTTTTTAGAACTAAATAATTTCAATAGTTATGAATTGTTAGGATTTCGCTAAATGCGGGTATTCCGAATCAAAAACGGCCATTATTATGGTGCGTAATTTTTCGGAAGCTTTCGGAGTAATATCACGAAGTGAGAAAGAAAACACATCGAGATTTATATGGGTTCTTTTCGTCGATTTTAACGTTTAAATTGCGAGTTCTACTGAAATAACTGTTTGTTTTTGTTTTGTTTTGTTTTTTTTTCATAGCAATTATTTCATTGGAACTCTCGTTTTGAACTTTAAAAGGCTTAGAATTGTTACCTATTCATTGAAAATCACGTTTTGAGTGAAACAATTTTGAATTCAGCAGAAACGTGACGCAACGATCGTGGCGAAAGCGTGGCGAAACGATCGGCGCTACGAATGTCTACGCTCTCTGACCGTAATTTTCTATCTTTCTTTCTCATATAACCAAGCCCAGCCGCTTTCACCGAATGTGTCAAAATATTCCTCTCGAAGAATCTTACAGGATTTTGAGTGGTTTCCGAAAGCTTTTTATTGGAAATACGATTGTTACTTGCCTTGAAAGCATCTATCGAGCAAATGAAATGCACATTTTTCAAATCGATGTTTACTTTGTTATAAATTTTTGTTTCAATTACAGATGGAAATTGAAACATATACCTAACGTTAGGAGGTCTCGACAGTTCTAAAACGCTCTGCTGGCGCAAAAAGCCATCTGAAGCAGGCCGATAAGATCGTTCGCATAATTTCTTCATACGGAATTCTGAATACTTTATTAACAGACAATCATTATATAACAGCTTATAAATGCTTGCTTCACATATATCAAGAAAAATAAATTCAGCATCGTCTGTTCACCATAACTGAGTAAGATCTCTACCATCACTCAAGGATGTCATTGATTTGGTAAAAAATTTTGTTATGAAGTTCGAGTTATTGACGTCGCCGTTCTATGCGAATTAATCAGTCAAAATACGTCTTTTGTATTTTGACTTGTCGGAGTTACATTCATGAGAAGGCCCTTATGTGTACAGACGTTTTAGAACCACGGACGTCAACTGGAGTTAATTTTCTTGTTTCTGGCACATTTTCACCCCAGTTCCATGAAGAGTCGGCAAGCTCTCGTTTAATTTTTTTTAACAAAAAGTCGATAATACACGACAGCTGGCAAATAAGATAAGGTAAGATAAGATAAGAACTTTATCAACGTGTCGAAGTCGCTAGCGTACAATGCATACTAATTGGGGACACCAGACTACGATTACTCATCTCGAAATATTATCTTCCTGTTCATGATGAATAAATCTTTACACAAAGACCGGTAGTTTTAATTTCAATATAGATAGCTGATTACAGCTGGTGCAAGCTGTTTATGCTTATTAAAGACTGAACAATTGGAAGTAATTTCAATGTAAGGATGCACAACATCGAAGAGAACCGCTATCTTTCAACGAGGAACTGGTGAGGTATTACCAAAACTAACAGCTTAATCTAGAGGGAAGGTTAAAAAAGGTCTTTTTTACATGCTGAATATATTTTAATATTCTTATCTATTTTTTCACACCTCCAGGAATCTATAATACCTTTTTTGCGGGGCTGTAAAAATCGTGGGGAAGAAAACCGAAAGTGAGACAGCAGATAGGTACGTGTGAGGAGCTGGTGACATGAAGGGAGGGAGAACCTAGCAGTAGGAAGATACGAGATAACGTTTCGTTTGGTTTACAAGCAAAAATTCCGTGGAGGTGGTTACCATGTGGAGAAAGAAAAAAGAAGATGAAATTGTCGGTCTTAAACACTAGTCCGCTTGGATGCCATCATAATTGTTTGGCTTTGTCCCTAGTTCTAGGATCTAGTATTCCGAGGGAAGATAGTTTACATGATGTTAGCATCTTCTTATCTTTCAGCTTGGAAGAGCCTAGCGTTTCGGAGATTTTGGTGTTAAGGCCAATTGTATACTGAATACAGAAAACGTATGGTGCTAGGATTATACTCCTTCCAGAATCTTCTGAGTGCTAGAACCTTCCTCTCCGTACGTGTAAACAGCCCTAACATTAATAAAATCACTAAAGTGATAACGCCGACTTTCAATTAGTACCACGAAAAACTATTAAAGCCAAACATAAAGGTGAATAATCCACTCAATTGTTTGACTACGTTACTAACCGTGATAATGATATAATACGGAAAAAAAAAAAAATTAAAAACGCATGAAGAATTTGTTTTTAATGTACGTGTGTAAGAAATTAAATCGAAAAATCGTAAACATGACGGCGCAGGAGGAGAAATAAGACCAACCCCACTTCAAATTCTTATCCTATGATTACACTCCATAAGTTCTGAGACTTGAATATGTAATATTATTAGTGACCCTTACTCCAAATTCTAATTTCTGGAATAAGAAAACTAAAGAATTATTCTTTCATGATTGTTTCCAATATTTCGATTTGAAATAAGTGTTCACTTCATCGATCAAAACTGATGTTAAGGTTAGTGTAAATCTTCAGCGGTGTCTTTCAGAATCTTGCTACTCCTGTTGCTTTTTTACAACAAACCATAGAAAGGAGAAAAGAAGAGAAAAGAATAATAGTAATAAAAACTGTAAAACGTTTAAACAATAGCATCAAAGGAAATAATTATATTAAAGATTTCATCTACTGGTTAGCGCACGCAAGGCCTCAAACGCAAAAGTGACAGTGTTTGCTGAACTAAATTACCTTCCTTTGTCTTGGCACTTTCGACCAAACAAACTGCACCATGTCAATAAGCAGATGTCGGACTACGAATACGGCGCGGGAAAAAGGAAGGAAGCAGAGCGCTTCAGACAGCATAGTAAGAAAAGTGAGGGAAACAAAACTAGCAACTTAAGTCATCAACCGGTGATCCGAAAAAACAGAAAACTTTGTGAGTGCCATAAACTCACTGGGGTGACCTTTTGCTGGATTACCGGAGCACTATACTTTCCACTTTTTTGAAGGCTGGTTTAATCATGAAACTTCAATCTGTCGTAAGCGGTGAGTTCCTCCTTCTTTCTTTTGTTGAAGGAGTTTTCGTCTTTCTTGTTTTCCTCGGCCCTGCAGGTTTCTCACCAGATTTATTTTTTAAAGAGAAAATTTATGTTGCAAGACGAATATTTCTTATGTCACTTCAGACGGCTTAAGAGACGAAGCTTTTGAAATATCATAAAAAGCTCCGGACACTGTGTTGCAATGTTAAAACAAGAAACATTTTGGTTAAATTTGGTAAAAAATCCGTCAAATCTACGTGTTAACGTACTGGAATAACCAAGAGATGTCCGCGAACAAGGCATAAGTAAAAAGAACTCCCGAGTGCGATATAGGGCACGCAACAAAAGTGTGACAACCAGCAGTTACCCTTTTAACTACTATTTATTAGTTTTACACTGTTACTTTTACTTAGGTTAAAGATTAAGTTAAGCAGTTCGTATTAAGCAGGCTTACTGTCCTTCATGGCCTAAAGGTATTCATCTTGATTAACTTTGAACTCCAACTTCCACCGAATGTAGACAACCAAGGTTGGGTTTCTTGATTCACTGCATTCTTTCCACTCACTGGATTCTTCTGTGCACACAAACTCTTGCTTCTCTTTCTTCTCTCCGGGTATAGCAAGGGCAAAAGTCATAGCTTCACCAAAGTTATCGCAGTTGATTATAGCTTCCTCACAGTATAGTATCCATAGCATTACATAAATTGAATCACAAGCGGCCACGAGGTTGAGCCCTCGGGCATATAAGGAGAGAGTGTGTTGTATTACTTACAAGCCTGCTTTTATACTTTTACTCTGGGTATCTAGAATGTTCTGTTATTATTTATAGAGCATTACAAGGTGTACTATTTGTGAAAACTGTTGAGTCACATCAAAGAAATTTCTGGAATATTACACATTGTAAAATAATTCTAGAAAAGTCTGGAATTGCATGACAGATACACTAAAAGTAATTCTGATCCTCATAACATACGCACCCTATAAATTTGCTTCAAGCAAGGAAATCCCGCAAAAAAAACAAAATCCGAGTTTTTGGCTGCTAAAGAGGGCTGTTCTAAATGTCCTTTATCGTCCTGTGGGGCACGACGAGAAAAAGTAAGTAAAAGTTTTCGAGCTTGTCACACCTCATCAAAGAGGTTGTCAACGGGGACTTACCGCCGACCAATTAGAACCAAGCTTGAAACTCCAAAAGGTAGCTCTATTAAATAGAATTAACCCAATGAAATTTGCGGGCAAATACTATTTTGCATGTTGATTTGCAGTAACGGGGAAATTGAGATCCAAGAGATAGGCTTCTGGCAGACAGAAAACAAACAAAGTGCTCCGGTTGGCAAAATAGAAATAGAAACTGACAGCTGAAATTGATCAACAGGCGATGGTTGCAAGACTGGTCATTACTAATTACTCCCTTGGTTTATCTTTTGCTGTAGTTTTACATTTTTTTTTTTTTAATCTTCTTGGAGATTGGCCCTCAATTTCCCAGCAGTTAATTTTTCCTTCTTGCTTTCATGGTAGTGTCCTTCGTCACACCAGATTTGATCCAAGGGGTCTTCTCTCTTGACAACGAATTTGTAACAAACGTTTTTACAGACTCTTACTCGAGTTCTATCATTTGCAACTCTTTCAAAGTAAAGAAATTGCATGTATTACTACACAGTCTTTGTAATTCAAGTCCCCACATGAAGTTAGCTTCGAAAAATCAACGGCGCGTCCAATGTTTAGTGAGGATTCCTTGACAGTGGTTTAATTTAAGTATAATTTTTAGTCAAAATGCTAATTCATGGTTACAATTTGAGAGTTCTTTGACATCCCCTTAAGATTGTGCGAATCTGATGAAACATGTGAATTACAGAAAGCAGATTGCTCTCGTTTAAATGAGACCAATTTTCTTTCCTTTTCTATTTTCAAGGCTTTGATACTTTTGTTTTTTCCATACTTGCACAAAATGTTAAAGTTTCGCTCAGAGGAAATATGACTGTTGTATTGCAGTCCCTTCTCTCTCATTTGGTATTGAGCCACTCGTCGGTCGATAGTCCACTCTTAATGCGGATAAATAGCTTGGAATGATCTACTCATACTAATTAACAGTAATAGCCAGGTAGTACATGTAGCTTGAAGTCGTAGACTGAAGTTAATTTATTTCTTGGCTAATATCACAAATTAAGCAATGCCTAAAGTTTCGTGAATGTCTTAACTGTAATTAACACTTTTATTAAGGAGATATTATTGAACAGAGCATTAAAAGCAGGTTTAAATGAGAATTCGGGTAGTGAGAAACTTTCTCTTTACTGGCCTGGCAAATGTTTTTTTTTTTACTTTTTTCAATAGACATTAAGATATTGGTCTGTATCTTATCAGTTTGTCACTTAAAATTTCTTTTAAAATTAGATTCCAGTCGTTTTCCTTAGTATTTCAATTGAATTGTATGCTATCCAAGTGTCAGTTCTGGGGATGTATGTTAAGGTGGCTGAACACAGTTTTTCATACTTGTGTTCCATTGACCTTTTTCTCTAAAACCCTTGATCCCTCGGTCGTCAAAAATGGCAGCAAGCTAGCTAACAACACAAACTTTGGTATTATGACGCTTAAGCTGACGAAAGTGCCGTTGCCATGGCAACATGAATAAATATAAACAGACCTTTAAAATCGGTTTTGTTTATTTGCAGAAAATCTAGCTATTAGATTTTCTTTATAATTTGCATGCAACAAGCTTGTAATGATTCTCATAAGTGAACACCATTTTGCTAATAATTTAACAGAGAGATATTTAATTATCCCTTGTTGAAGTTTCACTGGAAAATCTAGAATTTCTTTTGTTTAAGTTCAATTATTGTCAATACTCCGGTTACTTATTTCCTAAAGTATTTTCGTGCCAAATTTCGTGAAATTCTAATGAGTGGTTCTCGAGAAATAGGCGTATTTCCGAGAGTGCAATTTTCATTCAATCGCAATTTTTTCACTTACTACGCATGTGTTGCATTTAACTGGGCTCTTTCGCTAAGAAAGAAGAAGCTGTGAATTGCTGGGTTCTTTGCATCGTTACCTTTCTAACCTATCTTTGTACTAAAAGACTAAAGCCATCAATACGCTGCGTTCAATTATAGAGAAAAATAGCACAGATACTGCGGGTGTTGAGTAAATAAAATGATCGCTCTATTGACGGCATGTCTGCTTTTTGCAATCCTTGTGCGCGCGCCGAATTGCATCAGCAAAAGCGCGCGCGAAAACTATGTTCGGCCACCTTAAAGCATACGACACGTCAAGCTATCGACCAAAATTCCTTTTTTTTTTTACGACATGCATTATTTTGTCATTTTTAAAATCGCAGTGCGTTTAAAAGTGTTATATTTTGCTAGTCTCCCCTACAGTGAAAAATTGAGAGACCGGGAGAATGCGGTGGACTGTTCCATGTTTCCTCCTCTTCGCCGGGTACTTTATGGCCATGGACTGCGTATCTGCTGGGGGACAATGCAAAGAGGAACGGAGCATAAGTGGGATGGCTCTACAAGGATTCGTCTTTAAAAAGCTTTCCGTCAGAGCCTTTCACGAGTGTGATATCAGGTGTGAAAGAGAACTCACTTGTCAAAGCTATAACTACGTCGTAGAGGAAAATTTGTGCGAACTGAATAACCGAACCAAGGAGGCAAGACCTGAACATTTCCGCTCAGATCCGGCACGTGTTTACTTACGGCGCTTGAGCAACCGGGGTATGTACAAAACTGTTAAGAAGCCTTATTAGCATAGACACTTTTCAGAGGCGGACGTCATCAAGGAAGTTCAATGTTCTCTTCTTGGGCGCAAATTATCGACTTTTCTTGGAAGACGTCAAGCTCTAACATCCTTGATAATAGCTTTTCTACTCATTAGTGGAGGTTAAAAGTAAAAATATAAAATTCCTTAGTTCAATTTTCCTGGCCTAGTAGACTTTTCTCAGGAGTTTATTCTTAGTCAACGATCTTTGATCCTCGTGAGCCTGTAGACCATCGTTGGACAGAAACAAAGTTTACTATCATTTTCTTTCGGTAGGACTCAAAGTATACTGAGTTAGTTTTATATTATTTTGTTTTTTCTTGATCAAAGCTCCTCTGGGTTCCATTCCGGAGCTCCCAGCGCATTCGTGTCAGGAAATAAAGGCAAGCGAAGGCAAAGAAACCGTTAGCAGCAAGTACTGGTTGGATCCAACCGGGAATGGAACGGCAGTGTTGTTTTGTTGCGACATGACTTTAGAAGGTTAATGACCGTCAGTTTTCGTATCACTTGAGTAATGTTTTGAGCATAACTTGCATATTATTGCTGTTGACTTCTTCTTTGTGTAAAATAGATCTAAACTCTTCATTTACTTTTTGCGTATGAGAGCTTTTTAGGTTTCCCATTGCCAAAGCTTGAAAAGTTTATTTTTAATTTAGACATTGATGAATGCATCACCGGCAACCATAACTGTGCTTTATTTGTCAAACTCATAAAGGGAGTGCCCGGTTACCCGGGGAGCATTTTGGTTTGAATGTTGACAAATCGTTGCTGACTACCCCCGGTCGGGCTAATTATAGTTACCCAACACCGCAAAAGTGTCCTAACTTTTGTGAAGCGGCTGTTTTCGAATTTGCGAGCGTAGCAATCTCGAAATAAATGTAGCGTTGCGAAGGCGTTGTGGACGCAATCGCGTAGCGAGTGAACTGACATGGAACTTCGACATCTCTTCTTCGATTCTACGAAGGAATTGAGCCGGCAGGGCTATTTTCAGCGCATTGATTCGCTTCCAGCGGCGGGCACTACGGAAATCAGTGTCCGGCCTTGTCTTTCTTTTAGTAGTGGAAACCAACAGAACGATAACTCGCCGAAATCGCGTTAGAACGGCCAGAGCAGCTGGCAAACAACAAAGAATACAACACAGCAACAGGGTGAGTAGATTTTATTCACAAAATATAAGAATAATTGACTTTTCAAGCAAAGCCGTTGCATTCTCATACAAACCTTTATGTAGGACTGGTACCTAGTGCCAAGTGATGGTTACCAAGCTAGGCGCGGTAGCCCAGGAGTAGAAAAAGCCACGATTATCCGTTTTCGTATCTAGTTTTAATAAAGTGCCTTCGTAGTTTTAGCCTTCGTCCGTCGTTTATTACATTTATAAATTCAAACCGTTGTAACACAACACCTCCACATGCTGCAAGGCCAGAGTCACGTTTCGCGTAGTCAAATTCGGTCGTCATGTAATAGTACATACCATATGTCACGTTAGACTGAACGTTCGCATAAAAGTGTAAAAAAAAAAGGATAACATTGAGAGCTTGGGTGGCCTGTGCTGAAATACATGTCTTCGAAATTTAATTATTTTGCACCCAAAAAGACAACGCAATATTCCCTAAAATCAACCCAGTACAGATTTAAACATTGCACAAAATAATTGAGTGTTTTAAAGAAGGAAGAATAATGTGGTTTTGCATGCGAGGCTCTCAAACTTGATTAATAAAATGGTGCGTCACATGACGATTTAAACGGAATTTGGTACTTTGCATATTTCTTTGAAATAAAAGGATATTTTACTAAAAAAAAAAAAAACACCCAGTAATTTTTGTCATGCCCTAGATTATCTACCATAAAAATATAAGCGAAATCGAATTTTCGACCCTTGCCGAGTTATTTTCCATATTTATGGACAGGGACTAGAAAATGTTATATCAGTAATAAGATTTATATGCCAGACAGTACATATATGATTAATATTTTGCTAAGTTAATGCCCCAGACTGCATTTGACTGAAAGGTTCGTAACGCAGTAACACGATTGTCTTTCTTATTGCTTTTTTGTTTGTTTGTTTGTTTGTTTGTTTGTTTGTTTTTCAGTATGTGGACCTGTTGGTGTAGAGCACAGGATCAAAATACCAGATGCTAGAATGACGGCAAGCACATACTATAGTAGTAGATATTATCCATACTATGGCCGGCTGAATGAGATCAGGGAAGATGGAGCGTGGTGTACAAAGACAAAAAATAACAGAACAGACTATCTTCAAGTTGATATGATTACAGTGCACTCTGTTTGTGCAGTGGCAACACAAGAACACGGAAGAAGCTCTGATTGGATCACCAGCTACAAAGTGCATTTTTCTACAGATGGAGGAACATGGAACAGCTACAAGGAAAACAATGTGGAAAAGGTGGCTAACAAATTATACTCTTGTCTTGGAGTTGAGGTCTTTAGAGAAAGCATTAATTTGTCTGAGTAAACAGTACAATTGCTTCGTGGTTAAGCCATGCAAGCACTGTAGTCCTCGTATATAAAGACTGCATGTCTCGCTATGTATAAAAGAAAAACGCATGGGAATCTAGCAATTCGTGTAACAAGTTGGGTGTAAAAAAACAAAGGTTCATGGCTTTCCACTGAAAATGATTGGCAGCAAGAACAGTGGAGAATTCGCATATCAGGACGGACAAAGTGCCCTTCAGGGTTTTTTGTGCTACAATTAAGTTTACTAATAAGTTTTCTGCAGTTTAAAGACAAAGAGGACATTGAAGGTGTTATTATAATGATTATTAATGATTATATTGGAATGGACAAGAAAATGGTAATAATAATAATAATAAATTAATAACAGTAACACTAATAATAATAATAACAACAATAATAATGATGATGGACCATAAAAGGCTATTTATAATTAATTATTTTATTAAACTCTGTATGATACAAGTTCAAATATAACTAGCATATTTCGCAACCTTTATTTATGTGCTATTACACCAGTAAAAGTAAATTTTCTCTGTTGATTTTAGTCATAGGTGCATAATGCATACTGTTCTGCAATTTCTTTTTCATTTGTAGGTGTTCCCAGGCAACACAGATAGAAGCAGTATTGTGAAGCATTCACTTAGTCCTGTTGTCAAAGCAAGATTCGTTAGATTTTATCCTGTAACGTATGAGGCATGGCCTTGTTTGAGGATTGACATATTTGTGTTAAAGTAGTCAAATGAAATACTTTTTTCACTACCGGGTTAAAGGTAATTGTTACTTTCGGATTTGATCACAAATGCTATTAATTGTAAAGTAAGGTAAATTAGGCGTGTTTTTCTCAGTTAAAAGGTTAATGGCACTGCTGAGAACCTCCTGAAACAATACACAGAGCTTTAAACTTACGTTACGATGTGCTCAGATACCTCATATTATTGCATATTAACGGTCTGTATTCCGTTGGGCAACAATTGTCGAGTTGCCGTTTTATCATTATTTATTTATTTATTTTATTTTATTTTACTTTTTTTTTGTAGTAAACGAAACAGTCTTTGCCTTACCTGTAGGTGAGGATTCTCCAGTTAAACGGATTGGTGCAAGTTGTCGTTAGTCAAAACTAACAAACTATGATAATCTTTAGACAAAATATCTTAACGAGAGAGCACAACGTAGGAGTGACCACTTATAATAGTTTTGTGTCGTGTACAATCTGCTGTTAACGGTATATAATGAGTACTTTTACCAGAAGGCTAATAAAATAAAATTTGCGAGCTTATAGCGGACTGGTTATGGGGTTTGCTCTTTGGTTGGATAATTAGTTAGTTGGCAGGATCTTCTACAAAGTTGTTAGTTTGTCATAATCCTAACACCATCGCTACCTCCCAGTCTCCCTCAAACTCATACACCACTCCTCCGCAAGATTCATAGGAGTGGCGGACCCTCAGACTTTGTCATACCGCGCGTTTTTTGTTTTATTTGTATTATTATTATCATTATCATTATCATTATTATTGTCATTGTCATTGTCATTGTCATTGTCATTGTCATTGTCATTGTCATT